TCCTCTTGGAATGGAGGTTGCTTCGAACAACACACTTCTCATTCCTATAACTTGGGGGGTGCTGAAATAGAGGCAGCAGATGTAGAACGAGTGTTGCAGCAAGGGGAGGCGCTTATATCTGAGGGAGGTGATACACAGGAGGAGGTGCAGCAGCCTACACCATCCCCTAAGCTTCCATCAAGGCGCACAACCCAAGGGAAGCATGGTGTTGTCCGTGGTGGAGCTAAGGAAGGTGCAGCCAAGGAGAGGCCCAAGAGAGCTGCTCACCCAAGGGATTTCCTCAAGCATGAAAGGCTTGGGGGTCCCAAGACATTGCTGGTCCAAGAGGAGAAATATGAGGAGGTGACGGCTGCAGTGGGAGAGATGGAGCAGATTTGTTGCTTCGACGTCAATTCACCTCATAAATCGGCTTCAATGGAGGAAGCACTTGCTGGAGATGATCGAGAGGCTTGGTTGGCTTTGAGGGAGGATGAGTTCCAGAGCCATATGGAGAATAAAACGTGGACCCTCACCAATCTGCCCCCAGGAAGAAAGGCGTTGGAATGCACGTGGGTGTTACGTGTGAGGACCGATGCGGAGGGGACGTTGGAGAGGCACAAGACAAGGCTTGTGATCAAGGGTTTTCAACAGAGGGAGGGGATTGACTTCCAAGAGGTATTTGCTCCTGTTTCCAAGGCTCCTACACTCCAGGTGTTGCTAGTAGCCACCACTGTTTGTGGTTGGAAGATGGAGCAAATAGATGTGAAACGGCGTTCCTGTATGGTGTGGTAGATGAGGAGAAATACATGAAGCAGCCAGAGGGGTATGACGATGGGAGCGGATGTGTTTTCAGGCTCAACAAGGCTATATATGGCCTCAAACAAGCTCTGAGATGCTGGTATGCAAGGCTGGTGGAGGCGTTGGAGGCTCTTGGCTTCAAAGTTAGCGGGTGCGACGAGAGTCTCTTCATGACCAAAGGGGAGGAGGAGAAGATGTTCCTCCTTGTCTACGTCGATAACATCCTCCTCTTCTTTCCATCCCTGGAGAGGATCAAGTAAGTGCAAGGGAAGCTGAAGGAGACCTTTCAATGCAAGGCCCTTGGACCAGTGGGGTATTACCTTGGTCTTCACGTGGAGCGGGACGAGGTGAAGGGGTGGTTGAGGCTTCACCAATACAAGTACCTTGCAGCCATGTGTCAGTGGCAAGCTGGCGTGACACATCTTCCACGACAAAGGTGCAGACAAAGAAAATGCGCTCGACGTGGTGCACGTCAATCTCTGCGGGACGTTTCGAGTGGTCGCTAATGATGGAAGCCTCTACTTTCTCCTGTTGAAGGACCGGAAGACAAGATCCTTTGGGCCCTTCCGCCCCGTACCCCGTCACTCGTAGCACTTCGACAACTTGCTAGCCCGTGCCCCACCCATCAGACCCTCTAGCTCGCGCCCCACCCGTCGGATCCGCTAGCCCGTGCCCCACCCGTTGGCCCTGCTAGCTCGTGCCCCACCCATCGGCCCTGCTAGCCCGCACCCCACCCGTCGGCCTCGCTAGCTTGCGCCCCACCCGTCAGCCCCAATAGCGCATGCCCCACCTGTCGGCCCTGCTAGCTCTCGCCCCACCCGTCGGACCTGTTAGCTCGCGCCCCACCCATCGGCCCTGCTAGCCCACTCCCCACCCGTCAGCCCCGCTAGCTTGCGCCCCACCCGTCAGTCCCAATAGCGCATGCCCCACCCTTCGGCCCCGCTAGCTTGCGCCCCACTTGTCAGACCCGCTAGCTTGCGCCCCACCCGTCAGCCCCACTAGACCGCCACCCCACCTGGAAACAGCCGCTCCAAACCTGAAACCCACCGCTCCACCCTTGAAATCGATGCCCCAAGACCTGAAACCACCGCGCCAGACCTGAAAACTGCTGTACCGCCTGAAAACCGCCGCCCCATTTGGAAACCCACCACCCCAGACCTGAAAACCGCCGCCACAGACCTGAAACCTGCCGCCCCACCCCTGAAAACCGCCACCCCACCTGGAAACCCGCCGCTCCAAACCTGAAAACCGCCGCCCCAGACCTGAAGCCTGCCGACAGCGCACCAGCAGCATCATAGCCTGCCCCCAACACAACCAGCAGCAGCTTAGCCTGCACCCGGCGCACCAGCAGCAGCTTAGGCTGGCGCCAGCAGAACCAGCAACAGCATAGGGTGCCGCCTGCGCACGAGTAGAAGCTTATGCTGCCCCCAGCCAAACCAGCAGCAGCTTAGGCTGCCCCCAACAGCTTAGGCTACCGCTAGCGCACCAGCAGCAGCATCGGCTGCCCCCAGCAGATCCAACAGCAGCATATGCTGCCGCCAGCACACTAGCAGCAGCTAAGGCTGCCACCAGCGCTACAGCAGCAGCTTAGGCTGACCCCAGCAAAACCAGCAGCAGCTTAGGCTACCCCCAGCGCACCAACAGCAGCTTAGGCTGCCACCAGCGCACTAGCAGAAGCTTAGGCTACCCCCAGCAGAACCAGCAGCAGCACAAGCTGCCCCCAGTGCACCAGCAACGGCTTAGACTCCCACCAGCACACCAGCAGCAGCTTAGGCTGCCACCAGCAGCACCAGCGGCAGCTTAGGCTCACCTGTAAGCACCGCCCCACCAGTAACCTGCTGCCACACCTGTAACCCGCTGACCCACCCAGTACCCACCAGCCCCACCTAATACCTACCTATGTGAGTAACCGCCCTACAGCCCCACCGGCCCGCTCTTGACAGCTCCCCACTGCTCTAAACCTGCCAGAACCACACCCCGTGTCTAGCTCCTCACATGGCATTTACTAAAGTTCTAGTGCCGCAGTACTCCTGACGGTGGGGACCTGTGGGTCCAAAGTGTGGCCCCCCCAGCAGTGGCTCAGCTAGCGGTGGGCAAGACGTCGGCCCCTGCGGGTACCGGGCTTTGACTGGCCCTGGTGCAAAGCACTACCTGCTGGAGTCATGACCACTCTGCATCTAGCTACTACCGTCGCCTCGACGACCTCCACCATGAGTGTTTTTGTCCTCACGCAGTTACACCACATTGGCCTTCAAGTCTTCGCCAATGCACTGTTGCACCAGTTGAGTCCCACCTACCTAGTCTAGGACCTTGTGTTTCCAGTCTTGGTGTGTGTGTAGTGTCTAGTTTAGGTGCCTCAAATGTTCTCTGTATGGGAGCTGCAGCTACTGCTAGCCCTGTCCCAGCCTTAGTCGCTCGCTTGGACACGGCCTCACCAACTACGCAACTTTCCTTCACCCTTGACTCCAGGGCGTCCAGCTGTTTCTTTCACGACTGCACTGACCTCACGCCGCTGCGCACTCTAGTCCCTATCGCCTTGGTTGACCCCTTAGTAGGACCAGTCGTTGCCCACTTCACCACCGCTCTCCCGTGTCCGACGGCTCCCTCTGAGGTCCTTACAGGTTCTACACCTCCTCGTTCTCCAGGAACCTGGTGGGTGTACGTCACCTCCACGACCTTAGTGTAGTCACTACTTTCTCTCTGGACGAGCCTGTTGCCACAGTCGGCGCCACTGGTGTGCCTCTGGCCACTTTTCACAAGGATTCGGGCTCTTTTCCGTACTTACTACACAATGGGACCCACCACACTGGGTCAGGTCAGGTCAGGTCAGGTAGCTGCTGTGTTGTGCGACTGTCGGTCACTCACCCATCCGTCACCCTCTGGCACCACCATCTAGATCACCCGTCTGGTACGGCACCGTCTGGTCTTACGTCTCCCAGAGTCACCCCCCCCACCCCCTCGCTTCCTTGCTTGCCTGCTCTGCCGTGCACGCCTTGTGTTGAGGGGCGGCAGCGCGCTGCCCCTCACTCCTCTTTATTCCCCCCCACCACAGCTCCCTTAGAGATCCTTCACTTGGACGTCAGGGGCCCGCCCCCGGTCCTTGGCCCACGTCAGGAGCGCTACTTCCTAATTGTGGAGGACGACTTCTCCCGCTACACCACGGTGTTTCCCTTGCGACGGAAGGCCAACGTACCTGACTTCCTAGAGCGGTGGCTACTAGCGAGAGGTGGCGCCCAGAGCCTCCGTCTACACTCGGACTGGGGTGGTGAGTTTGATTCCACTCGCTTGTCGGCGTTCTATGGGGCTCAGGAAATGGTCCAGTCTTACACGCTACTAGCCTCGCAATAGCAGAACAGGGTAGCTGAGCGATGCATCGGCTTGGTAATGGAGGTTGTCTGTCCTCCATGTGCCACGCCACTTTCCCCCAGTTCCTATTTCTCCACGCCATACGCTACGCCGTGCACCAGCTGAACTTGTGGACTAGTGACGCACGACCACGGGTGATGCCGGTCTTCCTTTGGACAGGGTCTCGAGGTGTGGCAGTTGACTTCTGAGTCTGGGGCTCCCTCGCTCACGTTCGCTCCCCTAGTGCAAACAATTTATCTGCTCACACACGTCCCTGCGTCTTTCTTGGTTTCCCCCTGGACGCTTCCAGCTGGATATTCTACGACCCGCTCACCTACCAGTTCTTTGGTTCCCAGGACATCATTTTTGACGAGTCGGTCTGTTACTACAGGAGTCGTCCCCACCGAGGTTCTGAGGCCTTTTCCCCCCAGTTGTTCCTCACCCCAGTGCCCCCTCCAGCCACACTGGTAGCCCCCCACCCTTGTGTCCTGCCCCGTCAAGTGTGTCAGACGTCACTCCGCAGTCGTCTCCCTCGCAGCGTCCAGTACCTGTCGTGTGTGGGGGTGCACGAGATGCAGCTGTGGAGGGTGATGTTACTGGGGCTGCTGGAGCTGGTGGTGCAGGCTCTGGGGGTGCAGGGGTTGTGGGCGAGGAGGCCCCTCCTGCGGAGGATATGACAACCTTGAGTCGGTGCCCTTGCCCTGCCTCACCCCCTGGCTTCCCGTCCTCCCCACAGTTCCCTCCTCATTCATCTCTGCGGTCGGTTGGCGTGTTGCCTAGGGACGTTCCTGCAGGAGGTACTGGAGGCACTGGAAGTGTAATTAGTGGAGGCTGTGGTTCTGGGGGTGCTAGAGCAGGAGACACAGGCACCTCGGCGCCTACACAACGCACTGTTCGATTCTAGACCCGTACACAACGTCTTCTACGATTAGAGAGTGAGGAGCAGGAGCGGTTCCAGTGGGCACAGCAGCAGCACCAGCAGCAGGCACAGTTACAGTCACAGCAGGAGAGAGTAGAGGATTCACGGCCGCAACAGCAAGTGCAGTTGCAGCCGCAGCAGGAGAGAGTAGAGGAGGAGTTACGCCCGCAGCAGCAGGTGTAGTTGCAGCCGCAGCAGGAAAGAGTAGAGGAGTCATGGCTGTAGCAGCTGGTGCAGTTGCAACCGCAGCAGGAGAGAGTAGAGGAGTCACAGCCGCAGCAGCAGGTGCAGTCGCCGCTGCAGCATGAGAGGGTAGAGGATGAGTCACATCTGCAGGAGCAGCAACAAGCGCGAGTGCAGCCGCAGCTGACGCCAGAGGAGCAACAGCGACTGGTTGGGCTGCTTGACCCCGCACCTACGCGCTTTTTCCGTCTCGTCCTGACTCCTCCTGTTCCCCCTGCCTCGTCCCCCTCCCAGTCCGACTGGACTCTTCGTTGTGCTCCCCACAGTTGTGCTGTGTCTCCAGAGTCTCGTCCGTATCGTTACCGTGAAATCGATGCCCCAAGACCTGAAACCACCGCGCCAGACCTGAAAACTGCTGTACCGCCTGAAAACCGCCGCCCCATTTGGAAACCCACCACCCCAGACCTGAAAACCGCCGCCACAGACCTGAAACCTGCCGCCCCACCCCTGAAAACCGCCACCCCACCTGGAAACCCGCCGCTCCAAACCTGAAAACCGCCGCCCCAGACCTGAAGCCTGCCGACAGCGCACCAGCAGCATCATAGCCTGCCCCCAACACAACCAGCAGCAGCTTAGCCTGCACCCGGCGCACCAGCAGCAGCTTAGGCTGGCGCCAGCAGAACCAGCAACAGCATAGGGTGCCGCCTGCGCACGAGTAGAAGCTTATGCTGCCCCCAGCCAAACCAGCAGCAGCTTAGGCTGCCCCCAACAGCTTAGGCTACCGCTAGCGCACCAGCAGCAGCATCGGCTGCCCCCAGCAGATCCAACAGCAGCATATGCTGCCGCCAGCACACTAGCAGCAGCTAAGGCTGCCACCAGCGCTACAGCAGCAGCTTAGGCTGACCCCAGCAAAACCAGCAGCAGCTTAGGCTACCCCCAGCGCACCAACAGCAGCTTAGGCTGCCACCAGCGCACTAGCAGAAGCTTAGGCTACCCCCAGCAGAACCAGCAGCAGCACAAGCTGCCCCCAGTGCACCAGCAACGGCTTAGACTCCCACCAGCACACCAGCAGCAGCTTAGGCTGCCACCAGCAGCACCAGCGGCAGCTTAGGCTCACCTGTAAGCACCGCCCCACCAGTAACCTGCTGCCACACCTGTAACCCGCTGACCCACCCAGTACCCACCAGCCCCACCTAATACCTACCTATGTGAGTAACCGCCCTACAGCCCCACCGGCCCGCTCTTGACAGCTCCCCACTGCTCTAAACCTGCCAGAACCACACCCCGTGTCTAGCTCCTCACATGGCATTTACTAAAGTTCTAGTGCCGCAGTACTCCTGACGGTGGGGACCTGTGGGTCCAAAGTGTGGCCCCCCCAGCAGTGGCTCAGCTAGCGGTGGGCAAGACGTCGGCCCCTGCGGGTACCGGGCTTTGACTGGCCCTGGTGCAAAGCACTACCTGCTGGAGTCATGACCACTCTGCATCTAGCTACTACCGTCGCCTCGACGACCTCCACCATGAGTGTTTTTGTCCTCACGCAGTTACACCACATTGGCCTTCAAGTCTTCGCCAATGCACTGTTGCACCAGTTGAGTCCCACCTACCTAGTCTAGGACCTTGTGTTTCCAGTCTTGGTGTGTGTGTAGTGTCTAGTTTAGGTGCCTCAAATGTTCTCTGTATGGGAGCTGCAGCTACTGCTAGCCCTGTCCCAGCCTTAGTCGCTCGCTTGGACACGGCCTCACCAACTACGCAACTTTCCTTCACCCTTGACTCCAGGGCGTCCAGCTGTTTCTTTCACGACTGCACTGACCTCACGCCGCTGCGCACTCTAGTCCCTATCGCCTTGGTTGACCCCTTAGTAGGACCAGTCGTTGCCCACTTCACCACCGCTCTCCCGTGTCCGACGGCTCCCTCTGAGGTCCTTACAGGTTCTACACCTCCTCGTTCTCCAGGAACCTGGTGGGTGTACGTCACCTCCACGACCTTAGTGTAGTCACTACTTTCTCTCTGGACGAGCCTGTTGCCACAGTCGGCGCCACTGGTGTGCCTCTGGCCACTTTTCACAAGGATTCGGGCTCTTTTCCGTACTTACTACACAATGGGACCCACCACACTGGGTCAGGTCAGGTCAGGTCAGGTAGCTGCTGTGTTGTGCGACTGTCGGTCACTCACCCATCCGTCACCCTCTGGCACCACCATCTAGATCACCCGTCTGGTACGGCACCGTCTGGTCTTACGTCTCCCAGAGTCACCCCCCCCACCCCCTCGCTTCCTTGCTTGCCTGCTCTGCCGTGCACGCCTTGTGTTGAGGGGCGGCAGCGCGCTGCCCCTCACTCCTCTTTATTCCCCCCCACCACAGCTCCCTTAGAGATCCTTCACTTGGACGTCAGGGGCCCGCCCCCGGTCCTTGGCCCACGTCAGGAGCGCTACTTCCTAATTGTGGAGGACGACTTCTCCCGCTACACCACGGTGTTTCCCTTGCGACGGAAGGCCAACGTACCTGACTTCCTAGAGCGGTGGCTACTAGCGAGAGGTGGCGCCCAGAGCCTCCGTCTACACTCGGACTGGGGTGGTGAGTTTGATTCCACTCGCTTGTCGGCGTTCTATGGGGCTCAGGAAATGGTCCAGTCTTACACGCTACTAGCCTCGCAATAGCAGAACAGGGTAGCTGAGCGATGCATCGGCTTGGTAATGGAGGTTGTCTGTCCTCCATGTGCCACGCCACTTTCCCCCAGTTCCTATTTCTCCACGCCATACGCTACGCCGTGCACCAGCTGAACTTGTGGACTAGTGACGCACGACCACGGGTGATGCCGGTCTTCCTTTGGACAGGGTCTCGAGGTGTGGCAGTTGACTTCTGAGTCTGGGGCTCCCTCGCTCACGTTCGCTCCCCTAGTGCAAACAATTTATCTGCTCACACACGTCCCTGCGTCTTTCTTGGTTTCCCCCTGGACGCTTCCAGCTGGATATTCTACGACCCGCTCACCTACCAGTTCTTTGGTTCCCAGGACATCATTTTTGACGAGTCGGTCTGTTACTACAGGAGTCGTCCCCACCGAGGTTCTGAGGCCTTTTCCCCCCAGTTGTTCCTCACCCCAGTGCCCCCTCCAGCCACACTGGTAGCCCCCCACCCTTGTGTCCTGCCCCGTCAAGTGTGTCAGACGTCACTCCGCAGTCGTCTCCCTCGCAGCGTCCAGTACCTGTCGTGTGTGGGGGTGCACGAGATGCAGCTGTGGAGGGTGATGTTACTGGGGCTGCTGGAGCTGGTGGTGCAGGCTCTGGGGGTGCAGGGGTTGTGGGCGAGGAGGCCCCTCCTGCGGAGGATATGACAACCTTGAGTCGGTGCCCTTGCCCTGCCTCACCCCCTGGCTTCCCGTCCTCCCCACAGTTCCCTCCTCATTCATCTCTGCGGTCGGTTGGCGTGTTGCCTAGGGACGTTCCTGCAGGAGGTACTGGAGGCACTGGAAGTGTAATTAGTGGAGGCTGTGGTTCTGGGGGTGCTAGAGCAGGAGACACAGGCACCTCGGCGCCTACACAACGCACTGTTCGATTCTAGACCCGTACACAACGTCTTCTACGATTAGAGAGTGAGGAGCAGGAGCGGTTCCAGTGGGCACAGCAGCAGCACCAGCAGCAGGCACAGTTACAGTCACAGCAGGAGAGAGTAGAGGATTCACGGCCGCAACAGCAAGTGCAGTTGCAGCCGCAGCAGGAGAGAGTAGAGGAGGAGTTACGCCCGCAGCAGCAGGTGTAGTTGCAGCCGCAGCAGGAAAGAGTAGAGGAGTCATGGCTGTAGCAGCTGGTGCAGTTGCAACCGCAGCAGGAGAGAGTAGAGGAGTCACAGCCGCAGCAGCAGGTGCAGTCGCCGCTGCAGCATGAGAGGGTAGAGGATGAGTCACATCTGCAGGAGCAGCAACAAGCGCGAGTGCAGCCGCAGCTGACGCCAGAGGAGCAACAGCGACTGGTTGGGCTGCTTGACCCCGCACCCGCGCGCTTTTTCCGTCTCGTCCTGACTCCTCCTGTTCCCCCTGTCTCGTCCCCCTCCCAGTCCGACTGGACTCTTCGTTGTGCTCCCCACAGTTGTGCTGTGTCTCCAGAGTCTCGTCCGTATCGTTACCGTGCTGACCGTTAATTTAATGTTGTTCTCCGTCCTCGTGTTCCACCTCCTTTAGTCCTTCTGGAGCCTCCTGAGTTGTAACTTATTGTGTTTCCTGAGCCGTTATCAAATACCCAAGTGCCTCCCATCGCTGGCTTTGCCTCTTCCCACTGTCTTGAATACACCGCTCACCTAGTTATTGGCTCCGCTCGTTCTCCGTCCTCTGGGCGTGCTCATGTCTCTCCCACCCCAAAGATGGCCACTCTTCATGTGTTGCTCCAAATCGCAGCTCAGTACGACTACGAGTTGTACACGGACTTCTCCACAACGTTCTTTCAGGGGAGCCTATACGAGCAGATCTGGCTACGTCGTCCGCCTGGCTTCATTGGCTCTTTCCCTCCTGGGACTTAGTGGCAGCTGCGTCGACTGGTCTACGGCCATCGCCAGGCTCCCCATGAGTGGCACGACACACTTCGCACGAATCTTAGAGCGCTTGACTTCTTTCCGTCGTCTGCTGACCCGTCAATCTTCGTCCTTCATGGCTCGACGCCGTTCTTTGTTCTGGTTTACGTCAACGACCTGGTGTTCGCCACTCTCAACCAACCCGCACTGACCTCCGTGAAAGAGGAACAACAGAGGAGACACACTTGCACTGACCTTGGTGAGCTGCAGCGTTACCTTAGCATGCAAAATACCAGGGATAGGGGAGCTCGCACCATTAGGGTGACGCAGTCGCATATGGTCGAGCAGATCCTCACGCGGTTTCGCTTCTCGTTCTCCAAGGTTCAACCCACCCCTTGTGCTGTGGATCATGGGCTCTCGGCTCCACCTTCAAACGAGCCATTTTAGTCCAGTGGTCCATATCTTGAGCTGATGGGTTGTCTCATGTACGTGATGACCTCTATTCGCCTATACCTAGCTTACTCTCTTAGCGTCTAGAAGACACCGACCTTACCACTAGTACACTGGTAAGAGGGTAGCAGACGAAGTATGTGGCGAGTACATCAGGCATGGGACTTGTCCTTGGAGGGAAGCAGCCAGTTACACTTACAGGTTTCTCGGACTCGTCGTGGGCCAACGACGCTTAACTGTTGCGGTCTACATAGGGTTACCGATTCAGCCTTGGGACCGGAGTTGTTTCGTGGAGGTTCAACTCGGGCGTCGTCCGTCCTAGTTCCAGCTGTGATGCAAAGGTGTTCGCTGCGGCCATGGCCACCTAGGAGCTTCGCTGGCTGTCTTTCCTCCTCACGGACCTTGGTGAGCAGCCTTGCTCTCCCCCAGTCTTGTTCGCCGACAATAGGTCTACTATCTTGTTGTGCAAGGAGCCCCGACTGGTTGGCAAGGCAAAACACATCAAGCTTTGTTACTTCCTTTTGCGAGAGTTGCAGCAGCGTAGCCAGGCACTCGTGCAACGTTTAGTTTCTAAGGTCAACACAGCCAACGCCAAGGTTTTGCCACCTTGTGACCACAAGCGTTTTTGCCTCCAACTGGGCCTTGTGCCTGCCCGTCCTCACTTGCTTACGCAGAGATGTTTTGCCTTGCTTGTCTTGTACTCTTGCATCTCTTTATATTTGCTATATTCCTGCATGTGGACTGGCCTTGTGGCCCCTTGCTTTTTCTCGGAGTGTGTGGTGACTTTGAGCTCTCCTCGGCAAACTCTCCACTGCTCGCCGCGGATGGCGAGCTTGATGAGGAAGACGCATATGATGTGTTGCCACCCACCCCACCCCTTGTTCCCGCTGTATCCCCATGAACACCTATGCCGCCCGTCGTCGACGTTCCTGTGAAGGGATCCTCGTCTGCCGCTGGTGACGAGGGGAGACTTGTTGTGTCACCTGCGGCACTGACCACTTGCATCGCCGGTGGCCGACGTGACGCAGAGAAGGTTGATGACGGGCAGCGGCAGATGATAGGGGAGCAGACGATAGCGAAGCTATCGGCAACAAAGCCGGCTTCAAAGAAGCCATTAGTAGAGGCGCCAACCTCAGGGGAGCTGCCGTTAGAGAAGCCACCGACAGAGGAGCAGTTCAGCGACGGCTCGTCAAGCGATGTTGTGGAAGTCGTCAGTACGGCCGACGGCAATGAAGGGGAACCAGTATGAGGACAGTGACGTGGCGGAGGACCCGGTCAAAGAAGTGAAGCCGCGGCGTTCTACCCACTCCAACCTCGGCAAGCCCGCAGAGAAGTGGAGCTACCATGCGTGTCTATCGCCGACTTCCTACTACATGCTGCTCGATGACGCACAGGCCAACGTCGACCTGCCCGAGCTCGATCCCGACGTGCATGCCGACCTGGAGTACTGCAGGGACATTGCCAACATGAAGGTGAAAGAGGCATTGGCAAGCTGGAAGGGCAAGGCGGTAAAGGCCGCCATGGAGGAAGAGATTCGCAGCCTCATCGCCAATGGCACGTGGGAGCTGGTCGAGCGTCCGCACGGTGTCAACATCATAAAGGTCATTGGGTGCACATGGCGAAGTACCACGTCGACGACACGGTCGCCCGTGAGAAGGCCTGTCTGGTTGTGAAAGGCTTCACGCAGGTGTACGCCGTCGACTACCACGAGATGTTTGCACCAAGGGGGAGCTACGTCACGCTGCGCGTTTTCCTCAGAATTGTAGCCGTCCTCGACCTACATCTGATGCAGCTCTATATGAAGAATGCCTTTTTGCAAAGCAAGATGGACCGCGTGCTCCACATGGACAAGCTGGCCTACTACAGTGATGGCACCGGTCGAGTCTGCAAGCTGCTGAAGAGTCTATACGACCTCAAGCAGAGTCCGCTGTTGTAGTACTCGGCGCTCAACGTAGTGCTGATCGGCGCCAGCTGGAGCAAGAGCCAGGTCGATGAGGCTCTCTACTTCAAGGTCGCCCACGACGGTGTGTCGTGCTGGGTGCTCGTCTACGTCGACGACTTGCTCGAAGCCAGTAGCAGCACTGCGATGCTGAAGGAGCTGCTGGAGGTTGCCTTCCACCTGTGTGAGATTAGGTCAGTTGAGAAGTATCTCGGGCTTGAAATCGTGCACGACTGATCTGCGCGGAAGATGTGGCTTCACCAGCAAGCCTACGTCGACAAGCTGCGTTGACACTTCATTGACGAGGAGCAGACCGGGCGAGTGCTGAAGATGCTAGTCCCTGACGACGCCTACGTAAAGCTGATGTTTGATGACGAGGAGTACAATCGCGCGAGGAAGAAGTGAACCGGCAGAAGGTCGGCGCGCTGCAGATTGCGGCCACCACAACGAGGCCCGACATTGCCTTCACTTGCAACAAGCTCGGATCCGGCCTGACAGTGCGGAGTGATAACCTCTGGGCGTGAGGTTGACCACTGCCTGCTCTACCTCACCGACACCTGTGACGCCGCCCTAGGGTTTGGCGGCGGACCAGATTTGCTGTGTCTGGTCCGCTATACGGACGTCGACGACTCAAGCGACAAGCAGAACCGTACGAGCACGAGCAATTGCGTGTTTCTCTTTGGAAGGGCCGATGTCTCTTGGACGAGCCAGCGCATCAAGCGAGTGACGCTCTCGTCGACCGAGTTGGAGAAAGTCGCAGCCACTGAAGCCGACAAAAAGGCACGTCGACTTTGCTTCTTTCTTGCCGAGTTCTAGATGCTCGATGCTGGGAAGCCAACTGTGCTGCACAAGGACAACCAGTCGGCCATCACGGTCGCATGGGGCTTGGGGCTCAAGGGCAACCTCAAGCACATGGAGCGACGCTACGCATGGCTGCAGCAGATGGTGAAGCACGAGCAGCCGACCGATTTTCTGACGAAAGCGCGGCACTTTCTGGCTTTCAACTGGTGCTCCATCGCAATCAGCCAAGTTTGTCCGACCGACGTCGGCGATGGTGATGACGGCGTGCAGTAGTAGGTGCCATCCCCTTAAGCATGGCTGGTGTGGTGATCTGCGTGCTAAATGTTGGGTGCACGCAGACAAAATTCTCCTTGTATTCTATCCCTGTCAAATCTGGGTGGACCTTGTGTGTGGGTGCCCAAGCAAGCTGAGCAGGGGAGTACTGAAGAGAAAGGCCCCGCCCTCGCTTGGGCTCAGCCGATCTCGCCATCGACAAGAAGAACTCGACGGAGTGATCATCGAGGAGGTTCTTGCTGGTCGATGAAAGTGGTGGTCCAACAGGCTCTGCTCGGCGGGATCCGGTCGACGACGTCGACGGGCATCGCTGGTCGACGACAGTGGTCGAAGAGCCATTCAAGAGGTGCTGGTCGACGAGGCCCATTGAGGAGCTCTGGTCAAAGAGCTCTGGTTAAGGAGATCTAGTTGATAAGATCTGCTCAGCGAACTCTGTTCGACCAAGCAGCGTCGAGCTGGTCGATCAAACTCGCAGAGGTGTGCGAAACTCTGCGGAGGTGTGCGAAATTCACCCAGGAGGTTTTGGCGAATTTTGACCTGCGGAACGGCATCACGTGCTCGACGGTGGGAACCTGGCAAAAATGACGACACGTCTTCTACATGGCACCTGCGCAATGTGCCTGACGGTGAAACCGTCGACATGCACCTACTTGGTAGGTGCGCATATGTGCGCAAATAGTCACCTGCGATGTAGATAGCCACCTGCGACTGCAGATAGTAACCTGCGACTGCAGAAAGTCACCTGCGACTACAGTGCTTGCAGACCACATGCGGTGCGACGCTGGCAGTCCACTCTGTTGCAGCATCGGCAAGCCGCTCTTCCGCACCGCTGACAGTTCTCCTTGCAGAGTGCTTGCCAGGTGTTGCAAGCCATTCTAGCTATATCGACTTTCATGCCTCATTGTAATCTATTACCTGGGTAAAACTCTTGACAAACTTCTTTGTAAACACAAGCAAGTAGTAAAAACGCTAGTGCAACGCTGCGATCTTTTGCACAACCCAGTGCCCTCATCCGTAATCCAAACCCGTTGTGTAGTGTCTCTCCGCATATAGGTGCTAGTAAGTATAAGTGCGTTACTAAGCTTTAGAGCTGGTACTAGTTGTAAGAACGTTACTTACCAATTTAGGTGGTACTAAGTGTAAAGGCGTTACTTACCTTAGTAGTTGGTAGTAAGTATAAGTGCATTACTTATCCATACTGGTACTAAGAGTAAATGCGTTACTTACCCATATGGTTGGTACTAAGTGTAAGAGCGTTACTTACCCTTGTAGTTGGTACTTAGT